CTAGAATGGGTCCGGGTCTGCAAGATGGTCCCGGGAGGGCTTCTTTGGGATCCTGCCAACTAGGCCCCGATTGGCCCTGATTACTGGCCAGGCCTAGGGACCCTACCTGTGCACGAATTTCATGCACCAGGTCTCTAGTAAAACATAATTAAGTTTCAGAATATAAAGTTGGTAACATTTCTAGTTAAATCTTTCCATTTCTGTAAGTACTTGCGAGTAAAGGCTTATTTATTTTACTAGAGACCTGGTGCATGGATTTGTGCACCAGTAGGGTCCCTCAGCCTGGCCTGCTGGGATCGGGCCGAAACCGGCAGTCTGACATACCCCGAGAGGTCCCGGAGTGCAAGAGGGCACTCTGCAAAGTTGCTGTCACTTGGCAGCTCCTGCATTGAGCATCTGCCCCCTGGTGGTCAGTGCACGTTATAGCTACCGGTCAGTCAGCCGGTCGCTTAGGCTTTTAACTTAAAAGCAGAAGTATTAATGGGGGCTGAGGTCTGGAAGTTTCTGGCCTTGGAGGCATGATTTCCCATATTAATGTTTTATTTTGAAATCTTTGGAGTCTGAACAAATTTCTAGGGATATTGTGTAGAAAGGAAATCATTATCTTCATCTGGTTAAGAGGCAGCTTATGGGTTGAGCTCCAAGGGGCTGTCACCTCCCGAGTCTCATTCAACCCTCTTTACATTTCTTGGTTTCTTTCCCTGACAGTCTAATACAGCTATGAGGGCTCAAGTGCTAGGTAATCAACCTATCTGTGCATGGCCCCAGAAGAGTCAGGTATTTAATAACAGTTGGTTGGAATTTCCTATGTGGCTCCTGCACATAGTGAGGGATATCCTCCACAAAGCTTGTTAGTCACCTAGGAATACCTGAGATTTGGGCTGGAGGAAGTGCCCTTCATCTTCAGAGTTGAATGAGTTCAGGCTCTCATTTATAAGGTAAAATGTTTTGCTCAGACTTTCAGAAAGCAATTCCAAATGAAAAGCCAAACTAATTTTTCCCCCTCCTGTTCTTAGTTATCTACACTCTCTTATCTTTAGCCTGGGTTCTCTCAGCCCTTCATATTTAGCTCCACCTCAAGGATTAAAAAAAGAAGAAGAAAAAAAAAGAGCTGAAATAAAGTCTTCCTCTTACCTTAAAACAGGGAGGTCTGAAATTCCAAGGGAGACTCACCCAAGTTCACCTGATACAAAATGAGGAGTCCTTGGGCCCCTGCTGTACCTAGAATGGGTCCGAGTCTGCAAGATGGTCCTGGGAGGGCTTCTTTGGGATCCTGCCAACTATACCAAGTAAATGTCGACATAAGAAAAGTCCAAACCTGGTACCTAGAATGGGTCCGGGTCTGCAAGATGGTCCCGGGAGGGCTTCTTTGGGATCCTGCCAACTACACCAAGTAAATGTCGACATAAGAAAAGTCCAAACCTGTAAGATTTTTTTATGAGTTTATTTGAGTCAAACTGATGACAATTGCCAGGAAGCAAAATCTCAACAGACTGAGAAAATGCTCCAGAGAATGGCAGTTTTGCACCTCATTTTATACATTACAATCAAAGGATGAGGCATAAGGAGGGTTACATGAAACCCCTTGGTGACAGATTAGGGAGGTGGGAGAAAGCAAAGTGGGGAAATCTCTGGGATTGCATAAAACAAATAGACACATGCTTCTTTTACATTGGTGGGTGTAGGATAGTTAACAATTAACACAACAATCACAATGAGCGGTTTTGTGGTCTCTGCTCTGGTGAAAAAAGGAAGTTACACTGACATTTCCAAGGTATGTTATCGTAGATACAAAAAGATTAGACAGGCTCAGTTAAGGTAAAGACTCATCTTCATAAAGGAAGATATAGGCTTAGGGCATGACTACTCGCCATGACTTGTTTAGTTAGGAAGTTTTCATTTCAGACCCTCTTTTGTGGTTACTTTTAGCCTCTGAGTTTGTAAGACCAGCCATGCAGGCCTCCTCTGTGCTTGTCAGGCCCCCTTTTCATCCATACCCCCTCCAAGTATCTAGTTCTTCACACAATGGAAATGGAAGTCCTAAATTCTGACTCATGAAGTTATTGGAAGGCAATGACGAAGTAGAGGCAGGAATACAGATGCTCTTCTGTTAGTCAAGCAATTTGAAAAGTGGGGAGTAGAAAGCTAGGGTGACTGTTTTTGTTGTTGTTGTTTTTTTGGCAATGGCCTAGTGGCTTTCTCAGGAAATGCTGCAGCTGCTACTAAGAGAACCCAGGATGGAAGTTACTTCTTTTGCAATAACAGAAGTCTAGCGAGGGCAGTCAGGAGCTGGGTTACAGTGGCCCCACAATGTCATCAGGAATGTTATGCTAAGTAGGCTGAAATCACATGGACGGTTTAATCAGAAAGTAGAAGGGGATTAAGCCCAAAAGGGGCACATGCCAGTGTGTTTCTCTTACGGAGCTTGCCCAGAACTCCCAGCTGACTTGTGCCCACCTCCCTCTGCAATCTGTAGCTCCAAGGGAGGCTGGGAGTTTGATCCTTTAGCTGGGCCCGTTCTGCTTGAGTAGAACTAGAGAATCCTGGATACAGTACTTGGTAGGCAAGTAGCAGTCTCTGCCATAGGACCCAAACACTCCTACCATCTAGGGAGTGACTGAAATCAAGATAATTTATTGGAACAAAGTCCTAAAGAATATGGGAGAGAAGAGGGTCAAACAGAAAGAGAAGACAAGGGTGGGTATAGGGTGGTGAGCCCGAAAGCCAAGGGGAGTCCTCATAGCACACAAGTGACAAGGTCTCCAGTGGAGTTGCTGAGTGGGGGGTGGTGTGCAGAGGGTAGAGGGCCTGCACCATCTGCTGTGTAAATGTGAACAGTATCAAGATTATGTGTTGAAAGCCACTTGTCAAAAGGCTGTATTTATGAGTAACAACTGGTTTCCATAGCAGGACAAAATCACTTTCATCAGAACATGTTTCTAAAGCAGGAAACACAATCACAACATATTTAGCCTGTCACATTTGAAAAGCACTTTGTCCAAATTTGTGCTTATTATTTAAGAAAACTGAATTAAAAGCTGAAGGTAACAGATGACAACAAATTTAGGCATTGGTGACAGGGGACACCCTTCTAAACCAGCGGTTGCCAACCGGTGGTCCGTGGATCACTGGTGGTCCGTGAGGTCCGAAAGGTTGGTGACCGCTGTTCTACACAGCCTTTCACATTGCTCAGAAAGTGCCTTTCCATCCGGTACGACTTTTCTGAAGTGCTCCTGACGCCCCAGAAACCACCGTGTGAGGGGCCTCTGCCGAAACAGTTGTCTGTACCCTTGACGAGTGAGAATGAAAACTTAGGTTTGCAATGGAGAAGGTGTACTCCATCTATTGACATCCTTTTTCTCCTCCACAAATAAGGAAAATAAGAAAAAATCCGCTGTGTGTGACCATAGTCTTAGTGTGTTTCCCTTTCCCCCGAAGACAGGCTTCTGGGTCCCTGGTCACTTTTCTGCTGTGGAATTAGATGAACTCAATGCTCAAGAGCCAAGTTGTATCATTTCTGTCACATCACAAATGCTCCAAACAAAATAGAAGGAAGTTAATGGTGAATATTATAGGAAAGTCTCCCAGAATTATTAACCTGTAGAAATCTGCAGGTCAGGTTCTAAATCCCAATACTAATTTTAGGATAGAGATGCTTCTCTCTCTCTTTTTAGATGAGATCGGGCGCATTCGGTGGTGTGGCCATAGACGGTCTCTCTATCTTTTTGTATCAAGTTTGGTCAGCATGACTAAACAGCAGCCTGTGGCCTAGGGCTCTGTGGCCAGATGGGGCTCATGAGCCAAATCCACAGGCAACTGAGCTTTAATTGACCACAACCTAAGTGTCTTAGTCTGGCCTGGAGGCAAGATTATGAGGCAGTTTACACACTCACATAGCTCCCAGTGGTACAGCAAACATTTAGAATTCCATCTGGTATAGGCGCCATCACTGTGGACCCTGCTCACCTGCCCGCCAACATTCAAGCACAGTTCTCTCTTCTCCTGGGAGCTGTGCGAATTGCAGCCCTTAGGAGATGCAGTGCTAGAGCCTTCACCTGTGTTCCTCCCACCGCACTTCATTTCACTGTCAGCTAACAGAAAACCTAAGAAAGCAGCTCTCCTTCAACTGACAGACCTGCCCAAGCTTGTATCAACCCTGCAATGAAAATTTCAGAAAAGATCCTTCAAGGTAAACCGTGACAGAGTAGCTTTTTATCAGCAGCGCTGGCTCTCATGTGTGTAGAGAAACCAATATTCACTAACACAAACAGTTCTGACAGATGAATCAAAGCTACTTGTCATTGGTGGAATTACAGCAAAAATAAATTTTACAGTATAATCGGAAGGAACTCTGTTCCCTCTCTGATTCATATTTTTAAGATTCAAACCAGCATTAAATGCTACACCATTCAACACAAATATTAGGGAATAATATTTCCCCTAATTATTCTGTTAATGTTGATTTGTTAAGAAGTGATAAATGCTAAGAGGATTCTAGGCAGAAAAATATCTTGATGTGCTTTTTATTAACTGGTTGAGATCCTGTTTATCTACGTGCATGCTTATATGTTTATTTAAAAAATTAAGGTAGCCTTTTGCAGTAATTGAGATTAGCTGACATCTCAACAGTTTGAGACAAAAAATTACTTTAGCTGGAAAAAATATTTAACCCAAGTGGCAGTAAATTGAGATCTTTCGGTTATTGCTTTAAGAAGACAGTGTTTGTTTTTATAAAAATCATTGCATATTCTTTTAAATAGGATAAATACTAAGATTTTTTCCCTATCAATCATCCCTTTGAGCTATTAATCCTGTTGCTACCTTTATAAAAGAATAAATATAAACAATAATGTAACTGTAAAGCTTAGTTTGCAGTTTTTCCACTATATATATTATTCACATTAAAAAAAACTCCATATTCCTTTGTATATAATGATATGTGAATAAATAGTGAATAGTTTTATAGCTTTCTTAAACCACAAGTGAGGAAAACAAAGACATTTGCCATACCAACAGCTGGTCTTTATTTTTTTAAGAAAATGTTATTAATTTAAAAAGAGTTCTAAGAAATCCAATAGGATTCCTAGCAATGATTATTCCTGAGAACTACGAGATTTGAAACATAATTATAAAAGGCTAAAAAACAAAGGATTCATTCCTACTTTTTCCTTTTTTTAAAAAAAATCCAGATCATCTGTCATATCAAGAAAGCTCAGGCCCAGCCGGTGTGGCTCAGTGGTTGAGCATCAACCCAGGAACCAAGAGGGCACCGGGCAGGGCAGGACAGTACCGCGGCACAGCTCAGTCATCCTCGGAATCGCTGCCCCTGCTCATGGGGATGGAGCTGCGCACTGAGGACAGCAAGGCGTCTTCGATTGGCTTTTTAGGGTTTTCCTCCAGGTCCGTCTTAATTGCTCCAGACTCAGACAATTTCCACTCCAACTCTAAGTAATAAAGAAAAAGCAAATCACCTAAGTCAGACTGCACAGGGCTCTACGAGTCAGTTGTTTTCTTTGCAGAAACTACAATCAACAACATTTGATGACAATTTAATTTTAGTGCCATAATTATAAGGTACCTAGAAGAAAGGAAAAAAATCGAACCTTGAAGAAGGAAAACAAAAATACTTTCAAACACTTTTCCAGACAATGAGATCAGATGAGATATTACATACATTGGGACCTATTTGGTAATTAAAAGAAGAGACTAAACCTATCTCCTAATGACTTCAATTTCTCAGACTCCACAATTTCCTAGGAAGGAAATCAGTCTGAAGCATTTAAAGGAAATTCTTTCCACAGTCCTGCTGGCTATCTGATCATTGTCCTCTTTTAGTTAACAAAAGGAAAATCTTCAGCCTCATGTCCAATATCTCTAATAGGAGTCAAAGGCTAAATGGGTGATGACATCCTTGAACTGATCATTTGTTCCAACTAATTAAAAAAATATATCACAAAATGAATGAGTGACTAATGCCTCAGTTACTGTATTTCACTCTCTGATAATCAGTGAGACCTTGTGAAGCAAAATCAGTAGAGGGTCCAGGCAGAATTAAGGGACTGGAGGAGAAAGTCCACAACAGCCTGGTTTAAAGCAATGCTCTGTTAATTAGATCCTGCCATTAAAGTCAGACAACCAATTTTACTGAAGTCATAGTACTTTAAAGTGCTCATGGAGATGAATAACACCAGTATTTTCAGTTTTCTTAGTTAAATGTTACAAAAATTCAACCAATTTCTTAAAAAAACACACACCACAAAACCCAAGTTTAAGATTTCTGATTCTTGACTCAAAAATACATTAAATCCACACATACATTCATACATATAAGTATATGTATGCTGTATGCCTTTACACACTGGAATAACTGATGTAACATACTGATGTGCATGTTTACACTTTTCCCAGTTGAATATCATATAGTTATATAAAGTAGTATGTAATCATATTTTAACATGTTTTTAAAGACTACTAAAGCATAGTTAGACAGGTTATTTCAATAAAGAGGTTTTGACCTAGCAGGAAGCCCTCAGGCCTCAGTCTCTCTCTCTCACATTATATGTGTGTGTGAATTTCCTTTAAATACACACACACACGAGGCCCAGTGCACGACATTCGTGCACTGGGGTAGGGGGTGTCCCTCAGCCCGGCCTGGGCCCTTTCGCAGTCCAGGAGCCCTCAGGGGATGTCCAACTGACAGCTTAGACCCACTCCTTGTGGGCATCCTTAGCGCTGCTGTGGAGGCAGGAGAGACTCCCGCTACCACCGCTGCGCTCGCCAGCTGTCAGCCCGGCTTCTGGCTGAGTGGCACTCCCCCTGTGGGAATGCACTGACCACCAGGGGACAGCTCCTGCGTTGAGCGTCTGCCCCCTGGTGGTCAGTGCATGTCATAGTGACCAGTCCTTCCACCGTTTGGTTGATTTGCTCATTACCCTTTTATTATATACTAGAGGCCTGGTGCACAAAACTTTGTGCACTCGGGGGGGAGGGGGGTCCCTCAGCCCGGCCTGTGCCCTCTCGCAGTCTGGGACCCCTCAGGGGATGACCACCTGCTGGCTTAGGCCCGCTCCCCGGGGGATTGGGCCTAAGATGGCAATAAGACATCCTTCTGGCAGCCCGGCAGCCCTCGGGGGATGTCCACTTGCCAGCGGGGAGCAGGCCTAAGCTGCAGTCGGACATCCTTAGCGCTGCTGAGGAGGCAAGAGAGGCTCCCACCACCACCGCTGTACTGGCAGCCATCAGCCTGGCTTGTGGCTGAGCAGAGCTCCTCCCATGTGAGAGCGCCCTGACCACCAGAGGGCAGCTCCTGCATTGAGCGTCTGCCTCCTGGTGGTCAGTGTGTGTTATAGTGACCAGTCATTCCCAGTCCTTCTGCTGTTAGGGTCAGTTTGCATATTACCCTTTTACTATATAGGATAGAGGCCTGATGCACAGGTGGGGGCCGGCTGGTTTGCCCTGAAGGGTGTCCCGGATCAGGGCGGGGGCCCCACTTGGGTGCCTGGCCAGCCTGGATGAGGGGATGATGGCTGTTTGCAGCTGGTCACACCACCTTCAGGGTGGGGGTCCCCACTGGGGTGCCTGGCCAGTCTGGGTGAGGGGCTGAGGGCCGTTTTTAGGCTGGCGGGTGACTGAAGCTCCCAACCTCTCCTTTTTTTCTTTTTTTTTTTTAATTCTGGGATTTATTTATCTTCTATGGCTGTCACTGGAGCTGAGAGCCGGCTTTAGCTCTGAGGCTCGGCTCCAGCTCTGAGACCTCGGCTGCTGAAAGCAGGTATCTGGGCTTTGTTTGGCTTCTATAATTGAAACACTGTTGCAGCTCCAGCTCTGAGGCCCGGCTGGCTGAAAGCAGGTTTCTGGGGATTGTTTAGCTTCTATAATTGCCACATAGTTGCTTAGAGTGCAGCTCAGAGCTAGGCTGCGGCAGGCGGGGAACCTTGGCTTCCTCCATCACTGGAGCAAGCAAGCCTCCTGTTCGCTTCAGCTGCCTGGCTGCCGGCCACCATCTTGGTTGGCAGTTAATTTGCATATCGCCCTGATTAGCCAATGGGAAGTGTGTCGGAGGTACGGTTAATTACCATGTTTGTCTATTATTAGATAGGAAGATTTGACACCTCCATGTTTAACAGGTAGAAAGGAATAAAAAGACATCAGTTATAAGTTAAGAGAAAGAATTAAATAAACTTTTAATTTAATTTAAAAGTTACTAAGACATTCAACTGAGAAAATATTTCTATAGAGATGATTTACATATATATGTACGTGTATATATACATATGTATAGATGTGTTTGTGTGTGTGTGTGTGTACGGATTCGTGCACATTGAAAGGAAATTCATTAGAAGGTGGCTGGTGGAGCGGGACTGGGTGAGATGGGCCAGACACGCCCTGGAGCCAACTTCCTATGGTCTCTCTGCCCGTCGGTCCCTGCTGCTACCGGCCACACCTGGGGTGGTGCTGTGGCTCAAAGGGCATCTGTGGAATGAGTGGGGTCCCTCCAGCAGGTGGGGTCCCTCAGCCTGGCCTGTGGGGATCAGGCCGAAACTGGCTCTCCAATATCCCCAGAGGGGTCCCTAAGTTCGAGAGGGCACTCTGCAAAGTTGCTGTAGTATAGGGTGTGGAATGCAAACGCAAATGTGCAGTAAACCAGATTCGGGGCCAATAGTGGCCCAGCAACAACATAACCCACGGCTCAAGGTGGAATCCACGGCCCTGTGAGGAATCGGGCTCCCTGCTCTCCGGTTTCAAGGTGTGTTACCCGAGAACCGCCACTGCCAAACTGCAGTTCAGCAGCTCCTGTGTTGAGGATCTGCCCCCTGGTGGTGTGCATCACAGCGACTGGTAGGACACTTAGCATATTAGCCTTTTATATAGATAGATAGATAGATAGATAGATATATGCATCTGTCCTAATATGTTCATGTGACTTAAACAAAAACGAATGATATGATCTCAAGCTATAATTTAAAACATTCAAATATAGGGACAAATAAAACATTAATATTAAGTATATTTTAAAAGTCCACCTTGTCCTCTTTTCACTGAGAATCATTAGAGCCCAGTTATTCTGCCCCACTGACTGGTCTGAGATGAGAGATTAAATATGCTTCTCCCCATCTCTACCATGCACTAGCCACCTCTCCTGTGCCCTCGACCATCTCAAAGAGGCCCTTACCATCTATTGTCAGGTTCATGCCACCAAACACTAGAGGTCCAATAAACTGAGCCTTGATATCACCTTCAAGGTAAACAAATATTGTGGGCAGATTCCTGTCAGGATAATTGGGTATGCAGGTTGTTGAAATGGCTTTGATAAATTTGACGTCAGGAAACTTCCTGGCAAGTCTACTGAAGTGCTGGTTTATCAGGGAACAGAGGGGAATCCTATAAGACAGAAATAGGAAACAATAGTGAGAGAAAAATCCTAAAAAGTAAAAATAGAAGCAGTTACGATTCTGCATTTATACAGAACAAAGCTCAACTAGCCTTCTGCCCTAAGTGAAAACTCACAAGAGGATCTGCTACTCCAGTCAAGATGAATTAACATTTTTAAAAAAACTTTCTGTGGCTTAGTGGTTGAGTGTCGACCTATGAATCAGGAGGTCACCTTCAATTCCAGGTCAGGGCACATGCCCAGTTGTGGGTTCAATCCCCAGTGGGAGGTGTGCAGGAGGCAGCCAATCAATGATTCTCTCTCATTACTGATGTTTCTATCTCTCTCTCCCTCTCCCTTCTTCCCTGAAATCAATAAAAAAAATATATTTAAAAGAGCCACAAACCTTCTAATATGTTCAGGAAAAGTGAAGAACTCAAAATCCAAAGTCCAAATTAATATTCCGAAATGTAAGTCGGAAAAACAGCATCAATGTAAAAGATAATTGTTATGCCCTTTTCCATGACAGAATATTCAAGATTCAGAATGTGTAAAACAGGTCAGAAAGCATTTCCTGCTCTAAAGAAACCCTATACAAGCTCAACTCTGAGGATAGGCCTGGAGGTGAGAAACATGGAGGACCACTGCACCACTCAGTGTGGACAATCATTACAAAGGCCACCCTCGCCACCTACGAGAGTGACTCACACGTGGGATTATGAAAAGCCAGAGTTTCTCTAGAGGAATAAATACATTAGGAATTTCTTTTCTTTTCTTTTTTTTGGGGGGGGGAATTTATTTTCAATAAAAGTAAAGTCTCTATTGTTACACTGTAACAAACGCATTTGTGTTAGTCACAAATATTAATTTGAAAGTCTTAAGACAAAAATTAGGCATTAAGGTTTGGGCAAATCAGCCACAGAAACACATAAGATAAAATAATCTCCAATGTGGAATAAACCCAAGATGTTCAAGATATAAACTCAAATGAGCACTGAGAGACAAAGCATAAGATCACTCACCCTTGTTTGTAAAGGTGCAGGATCACCCACAAGCCCTCTCCGGCTTTGGTAACTTCCTGAACATAATCCTTTCCTGAGATCTCCAAAACTTCTCCAAATTTATTCCTCAGTTGAGTTGCTTTCAATTCAGCCAGTCTCTGCTGCCTGCACAACAGGAGGAGTGAGTTATCTCACACACACACACATGCATGTGCGCACACACACATACACGCATGTGCACACACGTATATCTTTCAGACAGCAACCTTCGTAAAGGTCCAGGTTTATTTATTTGCCACGTGGCAAAAGTCTAAGACCTGTTTGCTGAAATCTGAAATATTATTATTTAATTATGGCCTTTTCCAAACGTGATCTCAGTCAAAAAATTCATTTTCCAAATGACACACATTGTAGTGCCACACACAAAAACAGTCCCTCTGGGTGGCACTAACCTGTACATTTCAATAGCTCGTTCATCTTCCTCATTAAATTCATCTTCATTATCCTCCAATTCTTCCAGAGTCATATCTTCGTATGTTTTCACTGAATGTAATTAAGTTAGCAAAACCAAAAAATTTAAAGGAAGAACAAACATGCATTTTGTTTTTTTTCCTTCACTTTTCTCCTAAAGATGTGCATGCAACACCCAAGACTCCCAGCCCACCAAAACCAGGATGCAAAGTACTTCAGGCATTACACTAGTAAAAATAAGTTGGGGTGTTTTAAAAAGACAGAACTAGTGTGTTGGTATCTACAGGCTTGACTTTCCTACACGCCATAGTATGGACATGAATGAGAAGTTTCCCAAGTTTATAACTCACCTGGCAGAGCAAGCCCATACACTAGTGGGTGGTGTATCACAGTTCTCCTGTCTCCCAGGAGATGGAAGGAGACCAGAGGGTGTCCTCCCACTGTGAGCACACCTTTCCTAGAGTTACAGGGATTATCACAGGCTCTTGGTATTTCCAGGCCGCTCTATCTTTCCTTTTAGGAAAATGCTATAACATTTGTATTTTGTTTTTATTGCCATAAACGCTCTTGCTTTTGGTCATCAAAGCAGGCTTTTGTCCCTGACACCCACCCCATCCCAACAAAGAACTGCTTTTATCAAGGTCAACAATGATCATTTCTTGACTGAGTAGCATGTGATCCCACCCACTGCCTCCTCTGTGAAAGACTGCCCTCCAATGGCTTCCAGGACCCCAATGCTCTCCCCTCCTCCCACCCCTAAGGCTACCCGCCTTTGGACCCTTTGCTGGTTTGATCCCTTTTCTTCATCTATAGCCACTCCCTTGTTGATGGTATCTCATGGCTTGTAGTATGCTGACAACTCCCAAATTTATGTCTCCAGCCCATATTTTCTGATTTGGAGAAAAACATACCCAACAGCCCACTTACCATCTCTAATTTGTCTAATAAAAATCTCAAAGTTACTATGTCCCAAACAGACTTCCTGATTTCACCTCCAAATCTGCTCTCTCCAAGCTTTCTTCATCTCAGTCGGGGTCCCTCCATCCTTCTGGTGGCTCAAGCCCAAAGCCTTGTAGTCATCCTAGACGTATTTCTCTCAAACCCCTCAGAGGATCAACCCATCAGCAAATCCTGTTGGCCCAACCTTCAAGATATATTCAGACCTGACCACTTCTCACCATTTCCACCACCACCACGCTGGTCCAAGCCAATGGTACCTCTTGCCTGAATTACTGCAGTAGGTTACAGACTAGTCTCATACTTCCTGCCTTGCCCCCCACTGTCCATGCTCAGGAAGGCGGCCACAGGATGGTGCTGCCAACATGGAGGACACATGTCACTCCTTTGCTGAAACATGAAACTCCAATGACTTCCAACTCACTACATAAAATCAAGATCCTCACTAGAAGCTACAAGGTTCCAAGTGGTCTGACCCCTAGTTACCTCTCTGAACTTACTACTCCTCTCTCCGAATCATACTGGCTTCCTTGCAGAACCTCCAACACACTTTTCACTAAACTAGCTCAGTTTACCTCCCTCAGGTCTACCCAATGTCATTCCTAGTGAGGTCCTCTCTAACCCTATCTAGAATTATACTCAACTCTCCTCCAACCCTTTCAAGGCCCTTTCACTGCCTTATTTTCCTGTATTTCATTATGTATTGTTTATTGTCTGTCTCTCACTGCAGTGTAAGTCCCACAAGCACAGGGGTTTTTGTCTGGCCTGTGCACGGTTAAAGCCCCCCTGTCCAGAAAAACACACGGCACACGGTAACCGTTCAATAACCACTCGCTGGATACATGCTTTGTAGTAAGACCTTCTCTAAATTAGCTCTAATATGTAAACGAGATTCTGTGTCAGTAGTTCTCAGACTCTAGTGGGAGTCAGAAATCCTTTGAGGCACTTGCTTAAAATGCAGATTCTTGGGCCTCGCCTCCCCCCCTCCCAAGACTCTGATTCAGTAGGAACTGAGTTTTTACAAGCACCCCAAGGATTCCAGTTCAAGTAGTACAGCTACCTTTGAGAGAACCCCTCTCTCAGATCCCATACATTGTAAGCATCTTATGCTTCCCCAAATTAAGGTATTTAAATATTTTCAATCAAGGCAAAAGGGACTAAAGTATAAGCTCAGAATTATACAAACACTATAAACTTTGAGCAGATTTCTATGACATTATCCCAAGTGAATCGCAAACTAGAAAGTCAAGTTCAAGATTGTCATGTGCTCAACTGACACACACGAGAAACTGTGGAAAGGAAGGGGGCCTTGAAGTCCCCTACTTCTACGGCCCAGGAAGACAAAGGTAGAGACATGCTATGACTCGCTTGCGGCCCCACAGCATTAATTCTGGCACCCCAATCCCTTGCTCAGAGGATCCTTCCACCAAAGCAGTTAGAGGCTCAGAAAGCTGTTTCCTACCCAGATAGACACAGAACAGAGTAATACTAAAAGCAAGCTCACCAACTGACTGCTGAAGGACTCGCTGCTCTTCCTCTTCTGCCTCCTTTTCCAGTTCCTTCAAACTTTCCTTCGCGGGCAAGATGCCCTTTTTGCGTAAGATGTCATTCCACTCAGTGTCTGCATTGGGGTCCTAGAGCAGGGGGACCAAGGATACATGCCATGAGTGCAAAGTCCACTGAGGAGGGTGCCATGTCGGGCAAGGGGTCAAATGGGAAAGGTGGTGGGAAGAAAAATTCAAATTATGTTTCTGAGAAAGTGTCAAAAGATTCAGAGGCCCCGTTCCATTCTTCCTGTCCTCCACTCCACCCCCATCCCCATCACTGAGGGGTATAAAACAGGATAGGATGTGCAGATCAACATCAAAACTGAAACCAAGGCTCTGACCTGACTTTTATCCAATATTCATGTTAATGACTTAGAGTGATTCATTCAACAGATATTTACTGAGCAGATACTATATGTAAATTATTGCAATAGTAGGGAAGAGTGGTGAATACCAGAGCCACCGATTTTACAGTCGAGAGGAAGAGACAGGCATCAAACAATTAAATACACAATCACAGACTTATTACAAACTATAGCAAGTGCAATGGCCAACAGGCTGCTGACCTAGAATTATGAGGGCCTGCATTCCACAGGATGGGGAAAGATGGTCCCTCAGAACAGGTGACATTTAACCATCTCTGGAGGGTGAGAAAGTATCAGACATGAGTGAGGACTTAAGACATTACTTTCCAGGCCGAGGGACCAGCATGTTCAAAGGGCCCAAGTGAAGTATCCATCTTATATAAAAACTGCTGTTTGAAATTTTAACCCTGCTATTTCTGGCTTCAGTAAATGCTTGCTGGCTTAAATAATAAGGAAAATAAGACTACTCCCATTTCAGAGAGGCCATTAAACCTTCCCCAGACGAAGTTATCAGTGCTGGCGTCAGGCCAAGCTTTTGGTCGAGGTCTCAAAGCGCCAGCACATAGGGCCCTTTAAGAACTTGCAAAGGGAACCGGAAAAACCCCATATTGGGGAGACAAAGAGGGTAAGATAGTATAAATACAGGAAACTTCCTGTGTGATTGCACCCAGAATTTGAGAGACATTTTCCTCTGGGCCCGCGCGTAATAATAAATGTAACTCCATCTCTCTAAGCGTTGCTTGGTTCTTCTCCGGTTTTTCTGTAACACAAGAGCAGCGATATTGAACATCTCAAAGTCCTGTGGCTGCAGGAGAAGCACGAGGAGAGCCTGATGCTAGGCTGACAAATTCTCTAACAGCCAAACCTGAGAGGAAGAGCTGGGACCCACAGACTAGCTCACGATGGCTAACACTTGAGTGTTGGGCGCTGGATACTTTTCTAAGCCCTTTAGTTGTATCAACTTAATTCATCTTAACAAGCCCAGGAGACACTGCATTTAGGAAGCCATTGCCATGCTGGGACAAGTCAAAGTTACCCGGCAAATGTCAGAAGGATAAATGTCAAAGTGGGCTCTTAGCTCCAGAAGCCAACTGTTCAAACGCTGGCCTTGCACAGCTCGGCAGGAACACTGCTAATGGATCTGGGTTGAAAGGTGTAATCAAGGAGCCCTGTGGGAAGGGCGCTGGATAACCGGGCCCCAGCCCACTCCACGTCGCAGTTTAGCTGAGACAGAGCAAAAGAAAGATGAACAGAATCCTTTCAACCGGGTGGTCAGGGAAGGCCTCGGAAGAGGTGACATTTTTAAGGAGGGGCCTGAAGGATAAAGAATGCAAAGAGCCATGGTAGCCCCGGAGCTTCCTCACCAACATTGAGAGTGTCTGGTTTGTGGCAGACACGCTGTATTTGCAGGGGATCATCCTCTCCAGCCTCAATGCCTCCGGCCCCAACCAAACCCACACTAACTTTATTCCCATTTCCCACTGAGCCAGAATCCATTCAATCAGAATTCCTGCCCACAGGGAGGTCTGGACGGCAGCAGAATGACCTGTGGGGGAGCGTCCTTGACGACTTAGTTATCACAGGTTTTTGCTCATAAAAGCATCCATTTTCATTGTGTTTTCATTCATTTTCTTTCACTTTCCTTTGAGTTTTAGTCAAGTTCCAGAGACAATAAAAGGACAATACAAGAGGATCTTGTTTTAAGACGGAAAATAACTGAGCATCGGGGCTCTTCGGGCTGAGTTCTGAAAGCCAGGAGAGCCCCCTCAACCTGAACTCCAACGTGAGGGGAAAGAGTGGAACTAACCCCTCCCCAGGCTCTAAGTGGAGTCAGAAACAGGGGTGCCACCTCTGCTTTATACTATGGGACCCCCAGGAGGGACCCTTCACTTCTCCAAGCCTCAGTTTCCCGATCCGTGCAAAGGGTCCATGACACACCTGCTCAGGTGCTCAGTGAGGGAGTTACTAGGAAAGAAGTAACTGCCAGGTGGGATACGACCTCAAAGAGAGGTAACCCCAAAGAACGGAGGTGGAGACGCCCAGGCGGCAGGAACGCGCCCGCCCTCCCGCACT